TGCTCTGGCTCCTGACATTGTCTCCAGCTCTGTGCCTTGTGGTGTGGGCTGTTCCTTGGATGGTGTGCAAGCCAGGAGTATTCTCTTCAGTACTTGGGCTGCATGCGCCTAGGCATGCAGGTAGGAAGGCACCTACCTTCCCTAGGTGCCTTCTCTTCCCTGGTAAATACTGCCCTTGGGGCTTGGGGCCACCTTCCACAAGTTCCTTAGGTTCTTGTAGCTTGGTCATTTGCTGCTCGGCTTTCGGCAGCCCTTTGTGTTTTTTGGTGTTTGTTGCACCCTTGTTCGCCTTAGGGTAAGAGGTAGTTTGCACTGGTAGGGTCACAGAGTACTGCGCAGCTTGTTGTCACCTCTCATAGCAGCCGGCTCTGTTCCACCTGGGTACGTTGTCATCTTGTGAGGTTTTCTTTTTGTTTTTATTTTGTTTGCCTGGTGGTGGGGTCTGCCTTTGTTGGTTGCCCCCCCTGTGTGTGTATAGTTCTGGTGATATCTCCTGCTAGACCCCCGTGAGTGGACACGTCCCATCGGTCCAGCTTCTAGAAAGTTTATTGGTAGACTTGGGTGCCAGTTAGCGGTACCCTGCCTGGGTTTCCCTGAGTGTGAGTTCTGTCTCAGGACCCTAGGAATCCCCACGGGGGCGTGTGGGTCCAATGGATGTGACCTCTGAGCCCCCCCCCCCTCACTTTGTGCGAGTTTGAGGGTTGCTCTGTTCCCTTGTCTCAGGGTGACTCTCATTGTTTTTGCCTCCGTCACGCTGCCTGATGGGTTGGTACTGACACCTTTGACCCGGAGTCCTGCGAGTTTTGTTGCTTGTTAGTGACTCAGTTTACCCAATCCACTGATGACTCTATTCGGGTACTCCATTCACACTGACTCATGCCAAAGTCTAATATATGCATATCAGCCTGGATAAACTCCGGTGAGCCTCCAGATCTCACCCAGAAAATAGCGTTTCATTACATTCAACGCTGGGTTTTTTTATTCCCCCCTCGGAGCGGGTGCTGGTCCCCTTGCAGGTCACCCTGTTGACGGGGTGCTGGGAGTTAGGCAGAGCCTGCCTTCAGGCTGGCTCTGTTTGCCCACACTTGGTGCGACGATTGGGCGGCTCTTCCTCCTTCGGGGGATTTGGGGCTGGCAGGGCTGGCTTCTTCCCCTTCTCTCCGTCGAATTATCTTGGTCCAGTCCCGCATCAGGACTGTGTGGATTTTCGGGTTCCTTCTGAATTTGTCTTGTGTGTATCTGGATGACTTTCACAAATCCAGCCTTTTTTAGGGCCAGGTTGTTAGGTGGTGTCTCTGACTCTTCGGAATGTGTTTTGATGTGTCACACTTCCTTTGTGGTTCAGGGATTGATTTGGTTTGTGGTGGAGCGGCATGCTTCTTGTTTTCATTGCCTTTTCATTGGCCAGATTGTGACATTTTCCACGTCTTACCCAGTTCGTGGTGGCTTTTCTACGTCTGCTTGGTATTCGGGTCTTGGACCACCTCGACGACTGTTTGGTGTGGGCTCCCAGCCAGTCTCCTTGTCTGCTCACAGGAGGGGTGGCTCTTTCCCAGTTCGCCGGGTTTGGGTTCTTGGTGCACTGGAGGAATTCCCATCTGGTTCCGTCCCTGGTTCGGGCCTGGCTGGGCCTACACGCTTCAACTACACATAAGGGACATAACTGGCCGACCCCCGTCACACTTTCCTTACGAGGAAAGGCTGCGGGGAAATGCACCTTACGACACTGGAAGACAGAAGAGTAAGGGGAGACATGATCACAACCTACAAAATCCTCAGGGGAATCAACCGGGTAAACAAGGATAAACTATTCAACACTGGTGGGACACGAACAAGGGAACACAGGTGGAAACTGAGTACCCACATGAGCCACAGAGACGTTAGAAGGAACTTTTTCAGTGTCAGAGTAGTTAACGGATGGAATGCATTAGGCAGTGATGTGGTGGAGGCTGACTCCATACACAGTTTCAAATGTAGATATGATAGAGCCCAGTAGGCTCAGGAATCTGTACACCAGTTGATTGACAGTTGAGAGGTGGGACCAAAGAGCCAAAGCTCAACCCCCGCAAGCACAAATAGGTGAGTACAAATAGGTGAGTACAGTGTTCAAGAGAGAACTTGATAAACACCTCCAAAGGATACCTGATCAACCAGGCTGTGATTCATACGTCAGGCTGCGAGCAGCCGTGTCCATCAGCCTGGATTACCAGTCCAGCAACTATGAGGCCTGGTCGAGGACCATGCTGCGGGGATGCTAAGCCCTGGAATCATCGCAAGGTAATCGCAAAGTAACCGCGTTGTGTGTGGACTCATGGTCTGCTTCCTTGTCCTCTGGAGATGTTGCCGTCCCACCTTCAGCTGTTTCTGTGGGGTCCTGGGTCAATCGGTGGTTGCTCATGCAGTTGTGCGGGAGTCTGAACTTCGTCATGCTAGATTTATCTACAGGGTTGGCTTTGGCTTCGGCTTCTGTTCTAGTTCCTTCGGAGACCACTCTGTCCCTGTTCCATCTCTGGTGATCGCTGGGTCTGGCTTCCGTGGGCCTTGTGTCGACTGCTGCATCGCTGGATTCCTCTTCGGGATTTTTCGGGTTTCATTGCCTTGACCCCTACCCAAGCCCTTGCTCAATGTGTTCACAGATGCGTTGTCTCTTGGCTGGGGCTTTATGACAGGTGCTCACCGGCCCAGCCAGGGACGGTGGGGTCTGTCCTTTCGTCGGGCTCACAGCACTGTACAGGAGTTCATAGTGGTTTTGGCTGTAGCTGCGAAGGATTCGGGTCACTCTGAGCTCCACGATCCGGCAGCATTTGGACTGCTCTCCGGTGGTTCATTTCCTGAACCGTGGGGGTTCTCTTCGGTCCTTGGCTCTTTGGGGCTGGTCACTTCAAGTGGCTCGTCTGCTGGTTTCTCTGGGTTTGGCTCTCCGTTCAGTTTATATCCGGGGGGTGTCCAACATCCTGGTGGACAGCCTGTCCTGGTTCATTCCCCTATCCACAGAATGGATGGTCGACGCCAATACCTTCTGTTGGCTCTTCAGGACGTAAGGGCTCCCAGAGTTGGACCTCTTCGCGTCAGTGTGGTCGAGGTGTCTCCAGATATACGTGGCGCCCTTCCCCGATTGCTGAGCCTTCACGTGGACGCCTTTCAGCATGACTGGTCGTGGTCGGGTTACCTGTAGGTCTGTCCCCTGGTTCAGCTGTTGCTTCGCGTTCTGGCTCAGTTGGAGTCCTACTGCAGGAGAGTTGTCCTAGTAGCCCCTTGGTGGCTGGCCCAGCCATTTTTTTAGGTGCTGCTTGCTCGGTATCTGTACCAGGGGCATTTTCCGCGGCTCCACCTCCTTCAACAGATCGACCGGTTTGGTTGATGGTATCTCACCTGCGAGCTTCGTCTCAGAGACAGTATGAAGTTTCCTGCCGTTCTTTTCCCCATTTTCTGTCTCTTCATAGATTGTCTTCTTTTTCTGATCAGGTTGTCTTGTCCTTTCTTGACTTTTTCAGGACCATCATTTGATGCCGAATACTGTTGTGTGGCGCTGTCGGAGCCGCTCCAGCTTGCGTTTGGGGGTGGATGTTACTTCTGCCCCGTTCCGTATGTTTTCTTGTGCTTTGTTTCACCTCTAGCCTGCTCATGTGCAGCCTGAACCGTCCTGGTCCATAGGCCAGGAGCTCTCTTTTCTCCTCGGTTTGTGGTGGCCCCTCGGTTCAAGATTGTTTTTCCAAGGCTCTGTTTCTGTTGACATTGGGCTCTGGGGGTTGGGTTGGTGAGCTTCATGCTCTTGTCTGGCGCAGGGGTTTCTGCTCTTTTGGGCCTCGTGGTCGTTTTTTTCGGTTGCAGCTGTCTCCTTCCTTTTTGGCTAATACCAAGACTGCGGCTTTCCAGATGGGCCATTGGGTCATTGATGCCTTGTTGGTCAGGCCATGGTTGCATCATGTGTTGTGTCCGGTTGCGGCTCTTTGTCGTTATCTGCGCGCCTCGGCCTCCTTGGCTGGGGACGTGCTTTGGGTTGATCTGGTTTCCCTCATTCCCTGTTCCAGGGCTCAAGTCTCCCAGGTCGTCTGCAGGGTTATTAAGTCTAGCCAGCCTGCGGTCTATCCTTGTGCTCATGACGTTCATCAGTTTGCTGCTTTGGCTACGTCTTCAGCACCATGTCTTGGGCTGATATTTGGGTGCAGGGATTTTGGAGGTCGAACAGGGTCCTGGCCGCACATGCCCAGGTGTGTGGGTTTGGAGCGCAGGTTGCAGCCAGTTGTCTCAACTTCGAGTTAAGGAGCGCCTGGCTGCCACCTCCCGGGTAAGTCCCTCTTTTACTTATCATGGGATATTTAGCTCCAGGGAGCCGAAGAGGGGCATAGGGGCATTTTCCCTTCCCACAGAAAACCAGCGTTGAATGTAATAAAACATAATTTTCTTGGTGAGCCCCGGAGGCCCCCCCTGGCACCTTTCCTCCCTCTGGTTGGCGGTTTCATTTTGTTTTTGACACTTGGCCTCTGAAATAGGGTTGAGTAGCCGACACGGTGGGTCTGGGGCTTCCCACTCCCCCACCTGGGGAAGGGAGGGCTGCTCAGACAGTATGATGTTGCTTATTTGCTTGTTTCCTTGAGAATTGGTGAAGTTCTGCCTCCCTGTTTGGTCTTTGGTTGCAATTTTCTTACCAAGTGTGTTTTGTTATGTCTGACTTTCTGGGTGCCTAACCTTGGTTGATGGCAAATAAGGAATGCCCCTAACCACCGGGCAGGGGGGTTCTAGAGGCCATTGCTTCCTGTGCCTCTCTGAAGTTGTCAGGTTTTGGCTCATGGTCCCTGGTAGGCTGAACTATATTGACTAATGCCCTAGACTAATGTATCGCATATTAGCTCGATAGATCCAGGTAGCCTCCGGGTCTCACCCAGAAAATGGTGTTTCATTACATTCAATGCTGGCTTTATTACATTTAACACTTAATTTTTAGTTCATTTTCAACATTTAAAGTTAATTAAAATAACATTGGCTGTTTTTATTTCCAGCTGTCAGTCTTGGAGGTGGAGAAGTGTAGTTTACACACATCAGGACAACAACTGCTCGCACAACTGGTTGCCATTCTTGCAGAGATGCCCAAGTTAACATTCCTAAGAATGACAAAAAATGATTTTTCATCATGGATTATTAGAACTCACATAACTTGCCTTGGAAATAGCAGATCCCTGAGATGTTTGTGTTTAACTGTGCCATCGGAAGTATATCTTAGTAAGTTTTATTTTAAACATTTATTGAATTACAAAACAAAATTAGTTTTTCTCAGATTTATATATTTTAATTTCTTTATATTCATCCAATGCAGAAAGCATTTCTAAACTACAACCTCAGGAGACCCCAAAGTCTAAGGACTGGCTGTTATTGGTCAGATTAGCCTTTGGTAAGTACCCAAGAGTCATTGCAACTTTCCCTTGTTTCCTCTTAAGAGATATGAGCACATGGGGATCAGGAGTCAACTTAATATTGAGGCAGACCGCCATAAAATCAATGAAAGGTGGCCTCGGGACACTTAAAACTCCCTCCAAGGAATGTTTTGACTCCTTGTTGGTTCACTGCTGGATTTGGCAACACACTCACTATCCAGTCTATGTTTAGCTAGTTCGTCAGGAATTGCTTCGGTACCCCAGGAGACTGATGTTTGAAGTTTTCTTGGCCCTTCAGATCTGTGTATGGATTTTATTCTATTGACATTTCACAGGCATAGAGTATATATGATTTTCATTGTGGTTTCTTGTTACCACCACCCACCTTGCCTTGTTCTTTGTGGCCTTGTCCCCTGATGCTGTTGGGAAAGATTTTTCACAAGTTATCTTCCCTGAAGGCTTTGGTCTCCCAAGGCTGTTCGATGGGGGGTCAGGTTCCTTGTTCTCTGGGTTTGCCTCTACTGGTTGGTCATCCAGTAGAGGCAAACATCTTGGTCTGCATCTTGGTCTTCCTGCTCAGTTTTGACCAACTTCTGGGTGGCCTGTTTGGTTTTCTGGCCAGTTTCCCCTTTGGTTCTGCCCAGTTTCTGCACCCAGTTTCTGGTCCTTAAGAGTTTGCTTTCTCTTCATTCCACCTAAAGTCTGTATTTCTGTGTGCCCATCTTACTTTGTCTGAATGTCTGCAGATAACTTTGTCTGGCATTAAAGTCGGTTTGCCCAGCTTTCATGCTTTCTGCTAGTTTTTACTGGGAAAGTGTGGCAGGCATTTACAGCAGATTCCATTTTCTGGTTTTATCCTAGGATTGTTTCCAGCTGATATCCAGTGTTGCTCATGTCTGGTGCTGTCTGTAATGCTATCTCTGGCCGATGGCTCTTGCAACACTTGGCTCAGCATTTTCTTTGATTGCATCTGCTGGGCTTTTTTCTTCTCGTAAGGCCTGCTCTTGCTCCTGTGTGGCTGGTGTGGTACCGTGTTTGTGTGTCTGAGCTTTATTACCCCTCATTTCTGTGTGGCTCCTTCTCTGGAAGACACTGTTTATAGACGATTGTGCTTCTAGACATTTGCTTCTGCTCCTGGTGTCTTTAAGTTGCACATTTTGTAGTGGGAGTGTGCTCTTTGTTTGTTGGAACACTGAGTTGTTTCCTTGTCCAAAAACATCCCCTTTCTGTTGCTCATAACTGTGTGGTCTGTGTTAAGGTATAAAATGCTAGTTCTTCAGGCATGGTTTATTCTTTAACTTTAAGAGAAAGCATTGTTGGTGCTGTTTAGCTGTTAAACATTTCCCAAGAGCACCAGTCTTGGTTGATCTCTCAGTACTGAGGCCTTCACATGTAGGAATGATGTCCACTATTTGTATTTTTCAAAATGGCATGTGTTTACTGAAAGCCTGAGGAAGACGTTGTGAGCCCTGTGTACCCTGTGGGAGTTTTAAAATCTTAGAATGTTCAGTACCCTACTACTTCATATAATGGGATGCACCATCTGAACTTTTTTCTGTGGGGAGCCCCTACGGCTTCCTGGAGCTTATCGGGCTAATGTATGTTATATTAGACCGGGACATTAGCTAAGGAGTTCACACCTACCAGGGACCTGCGCCAGAACCTGGCCCCTTCAGAGAGGTTTCAGGGAGCAATGGCACTGGAAAGCCCTCTTGTGGTTGGGGTTTTCCTTATCTGCCTTCAACCGGGGTTAGGCACCCAGAAAGGTAGGCATAACAAAACAAACCCCACATGGTAAAAAACTAAAACAAAAAAACAAACAGAGAGGTAGAAACTCCCTATAATCCCAAGGAAACAAGCAAACATCACACTTTACTGCCGTGCCGATCGTCCGCGCAGCCCTCCCCGCCCCGGGAGGGGGAGGGGGGAGCCCCGGACCTACCGCGCCGGCTGCCAAGCTCCAGTTCGTAAGCTAATGTCAACCGGGATAGACGCTTCTCTGGCCTCAGTTTCCTAGGCGGTGTTTGCCTTGTGTGGCGTTCACTGCCGTGTGTTGTGTTGTGCGGTGGCCAGGAGTACCTCATCAGTGCCGGGGCTGCATGCGCTTAGTGGCTGCCTTCCCTAAGTGCCCTGTGAGTACTGCCCTTGCGTAACAGGGTTATCTTCCCTGGGGCGTTCAGGAACCATTCCTGTAGAGGTTCTTGCTGCTCGGAATTTGCCTCACTCTTGGGGCCAGTTGGGGCTTGGGGCCCTTGTTTGGCCCTGGGTAGGGATTGGTATTGTGCTGGTTAGGGCATCAAGGTGTTGCACAGCCTGCCACCTAAGCGGCGACCGGTTCCTGTTGCCTCTGGAGACGGTGTACTTTTTTGTTTGTTTTTTTGTTTTTGTTTTTACTTTCAATTGCCTGCTGGGGGTCTGCCCAGTGTGGCTATAGTTCCACTGGTAGTGTTTGGTGGCCCTCTGCTAGGCCCCCGTGATTGTACACATCTCAGGGGTTTTCAGTGCTCTCCCCAACCGGTTTAGCAATACCTTGCCCGGGCTTCCCATAGCAGTCAGCCTACGGGCCCTGGAAACCCCTGTCTGGGCTCGAGGGACCATTGAATGTGTCTTCCAGGTTCCAACCCGTCTTGTACGGGATCGTTGGTTACTGTGCCCTTGTCTCCGGGTGACAGTCGCCACTTTAACCTCTGTCATGCTGCCTGTTGGGTCACTGACACCTTGACCCGAAGTCTTGCGAAAGATTTTCTCTGCTTGTTCTCCGGTACTCTCTTGTTATTATTACTGTTCAGAGTACAGGCGGCATCTGTGTTGCAAGCTAGGTTAGGTTGCTGCAACATGCTAGGTTGGTTTCCCACTCGGACGCCCCGTGGCTGCCCCGTTTTGGTTAGGTACTGTTCGCCCCTTTCCCTCCCTGTTCCTGGCTCCGGACTGTCTGTGGGTTTCGGGGTCGGGGCAGGGTTTAGTTGGGGCCGAGACTTGGGCGGTTTTCGGGGGCTGCCCTGTTCGGGTTGGGGGACGGAGGTTTTTCGAGCTAGTTCCTCCTGCCAAGGCTTCTGGGTCTTACCAGCGGCCCTTTCTTGCTGCCTTTCCCATGGACTCTTGCTTTTCTTAAAGGGCAGAGGGCTTGGAGGACAGCTCTGCCCCGGGGCTTCTGTTGTTGGTGCCCGGGGCTGTGGGGAATGCTTGCTAGCAGTTCTGGGGCGGTTTGCTCCCTGCCAGGGTTTTCTGCTGTTGGGCGGCGTCCAACAGCAGAAAGTCTGCTTGCTTCCCATTTTTGCTGGCATGTTTTTGTATCTTTAGCTGCAGCCACAGCCCCTGCTGGCGGCCATTTTCGTCTGCCAGTTTCCCGGAGTGGCCACCAGGGTGGCGTTGCGGTTTGTTTACATGCGACTGGGTGTGTGAGTGAGCTTCTGGGGTGAGTTTTCACCTTTTTTCAGGGTTTTCTGTGGGGAGCCCCTACGGCTCCCTGGAGCTTATCGGGCTAATGTATGTTATGTTAGACCGGGACATTAGCTAAGGAGTTCAGACCTACCAGGGACCAGCGCCAGAACCTGGCCCCTTCAGAGAGGTTTCAGGGAGCAATGGCCCTGGAAAACCCCATATGGTTGGGGGTTTTCCTTATCTGCCATCGACCGGGGTTAGGCACCCAGAAAGGTAGGCGTAACAAAACAAACCCCACATGGTAAGAAACTACAACAAAAACCGAACAGAGAGGTAGAAAACTCCCTACAATCCCAAGGAAACAAGCAAACAAGCAAACATCACACTTTACTGCCGCGCCGATCGTCCGCGCAGCCCTCCCCACCCCGGGAGGGGGAGGGGGGAGCCCCGGACCTACCGCGCCGGCTGCCAAGCTTCAGTTCGTTCGCTAATGTAAACCGGGATTGACGCTTCTCTGGCCTCAGTTTCCTAGGCGGTGTTTGCCTTGTGTGGCGTTCACTGCCGTGTGTTGTGGTGTGTGGTGGCCAGGAGTACTTCATCAGTGCCGGGGCTGCATGTGCTTAGTGGCTGACTTCCCTAAGCGCCCTGTGAGTACTGCCCTTGCGTAACAGGGTTATCTTCCCTGGGGCGTTCGGGAACCATTCCCGTAGAGGTTCTTGCTGCTCGGCATTTGCCTCGCCCTTGGGGCCAGCTGGGGCTTGGGGCCCTTGTTTGGCCCTGGGTAGGGATTGGTATTGTGCTGGTTAGGGCGTCAAGGTGTTGCGCAGCCTGCCACCTAAGCGGCGGCCGGTTTCTGTTGCCTCTGGAGACGGTGTACTTTTGCGGGGTTTTTCTTTTGTTTTTCATTTTCTTGCCTGGTGGGGGTCTGCCTAAGGTGGTTATAGTTCCACTGGTAGTGTTTGGCGGCCCTCTGCTAGGCCCCCGTGCTTGTACACGTCTCAGGGGTTTTCAGTGCTATAATCTACCCTCTTGTTATGTTTGGGTTTCTTAACCGGTTAGCAACACCTTGCCCGGGCTTCCCGTAGTTGTTACCCTACGGGCCCTGGAAACCCCTGTCTGGGCTCGGGGGACCATTGAATGTGTCTTCCGGGTTCCAACCCGTCTTGAACGGGATCGTTGGTTGCTGTTCCCTTGTCTCCGGGTGACAGTCGCCATTTTTACCTCCGTCATGCTGCCTGTTGGGTCACTGACACCTTGACCCGGAGTCTTGCGAGTGATTCTCTGCTTGTTCTCCAGTACTCTCCTGATGTTATTACTGTTCAGAGTACAGGCGGCATCCGTGTTGCAAGCTAGGTTAGGTTGCTGCAACATGCTAGGTTGGTTTCCCACTCGAATGCCCCGTGGCCGCCCCGTTTGGTTAGGTGCTGCTCGCCCCTTTCTCTCCATGTTCCCGGCTCCGGACCGTCT